CCCGGGGGCCAGGAAGGGCAGCCACGTTCTGTGGCAGTTCGTGGCTTGGTTCCGGGCAGGGTAAATCCCATGGGATGCGCCCTCGGAGGTCCTAGCGATGCCCCCGGGGAGCGCCGGGCCAGCGGGGCGGCGGTGCCTCAGGCAGGGCTTTGCCGTGGGGGCTCACTTGGCAGTGAAGACCTAGCCACGCCGGTACCCCCTGTCCAGCATCCCCGCCTCCGGCAAATCCGCCCCCGTGCGTAGCCTGCCATCGCCTCGAAAAGGGCAACAGCCCCACCACGCCCCCGGATTGTTGAACAGGGTGGACGGGGACGCTCCCAACCCTCCCGCCTGGCTTAAACACGCCCCCGCCGCCTTGGCCGTTCCGTCCAGTGGTGGAGAGTTCCACCGGCCAGCTCCGGGCTGCCCGAAGACGTCCTTGACCTTTCCTTCTACACGTGGCCGCCCCTCTGCATTCCCGCAGCGCCCCACCCCGGGGCTCACCCAAGGAGACCGGAGGAAAAGGAGAGCGGGGCAGATGGGGGAGCAGTGCGAGGAAGCCCCCCGCGGGCTTCACGGACTCCCCTCCCCCCACGGTGCCCGTGCCCTCGTTAAAATCCAGCCAAGTCACTCCTGAGCCGTGCCAAATGTTTTGGGGAGGGGCGCGCCTGCTCCTTCCCTTCCTTTCCTTTTTTGGCCACAGAGGAGCCCTCCGGCCCAGCAGCGTTTGGGATGTTTGAGGGGAGAGAGAACAGCTGGGTAGGGATAAACTCCCAGGCCTGCTCCCCACAGCTGGGCCCACCCAGCCCGGCGTGGGATTGTCCCTCGGACGAACCCGGGAGAGGCCAGGCCAGCGGCGGTGGGGCGGGCTGGGGGAGAAACCCCCCTTAAGCAGGAGGGAAGTGCTGGCCAGGGCGGCTCCGGGCCCCTCAGCACTGCCCGTTTGCCTGCCAGCCCCATCGCTTGGCGTCTCTTCCTCCTGCTCCGACCTCTTCCCAGCTGGGCTCTCCCTGCTTCCCTGGATCTTTGGGTCTGTCGCAAGCCCAGAGACCTGGGCCAGCCTGGCCCCTTGG